TAAATTCCTGAAGGCATAGATGAAGAATGATTGTTACTTTGTTTAAAAATGTGAAGCATTATATGGGTTGCTGGCATCTTTTGTACCAATCAGCCGGTGTTGCTCTGCTTGCTGTGTTTGTTCTCTGACTGTTGAAGGGAAAGTCAATGAGCCAGGCCAAGATATTCTACTGTGTAAAGCAGAGGGCAGAGCGGCATTCTATCCATTCCATATACAGAGATAAACTACACTGGCAAGTGAAACTCACTTTGGCAATAGAAGTGGGAAAGCGTGCTCCAGCACACTTGTTAACTAGTGGCACAACTTAGCCTGTGTTGCACACACAACTCCATCCTCCCCAATAGGTGAATAGCTCTGCACTCAGGAAAAACAGTGTTGGTTGCAGTGTTACACTTGTGATGGCTCAAATCACAGTGGAAATCACTACTTTATATTACAGTCATCACTTCATGGGTTTTTGTATGTGCATGAGCATGTCCTAAAATTGGTGCATGTATTTCTTTTACTTGTTGTTGTTGTTGTTGTTTAGTCTGACTCTTCGTGACCCCATGGACCAGAGCACGCCAGGCCGTCCTTTCTTCCAGTGCCTCCCATAGTTGGGTCAAATTCATGTTGGATTCCTTTTACTTAGCCACACCCAAACTTTTTAGCACCAAAAGAGGTGAGCTGAAAGCATAGCTAGCCCAATCCAAATGAAACAAAATAACTTGATCGAAAATGGAAGTGGCGTAAATTTCTTTAGATTCACAGAACCCAATGACTTAAATCCAGGAAGATTCACCAAAAATGGATGACTCTTTTGGATGCTTTGAAGACATAGACATAGGTGCTATCTTCAGCATTGTGCTTTTTAACTGCACTTGTCTTCAGCAGTTCTATTTAATGATTGTCAATAAAATTGACTGCCAGTGCCTGTAAGGAAGAAGGCCAAGTTAACTCTAACTATTGAAAGTGTTGCAATGTATTCCAGCTGCTGACAAAGATGGGCAGAATACCTTCTTCAGAGAAGAAAAGACCTTTAAGCACCAATGAGTTTTCAGAAACTCATAATAAGATGTCATTGACAGTATCTCCTGCTCTATAATTATCGTAGTGTGCATGTCAGTACATACATTCTCCACATAATTATCCTGACTTTGAAGGTTTTAGACTCCTTACAATTAAGTTATTATGTGGAAACTTTTATCCCCTCACATTTAAAAATACAGTACAATATCATCCTGTGTTTGACTGCGCATGAATATCTAAGGATTCTGGTAATAGTTAAAAATAAAAGAATTAATGAGGCATGAAACATTATGGATAGAGGCAGAGTTACAGTATGGGAGTGGAAACACATACTTTCATAGTGTGAGGGCTGTTGGAAATCTGTTATCACTGGTTGTTATGAGAAACACTGAGTGAAGAACAATTACAAACAGGACACTGCTTGCCAACGTCTTCCTCACTGCCCCTCATTGTATTTATTTTACCCACGACAGGGCCTTTACTTGAAAAAAAGGAATATCATTCCATCCCTCTGCCTTGGAGCTATTATGTTAGTCCATGTACTCGCCATCCTTGATCCTGATGTCTCTTTTTCAAATGACTCTGTGTCCTTGTTTTTTTCATTCATATTTTTATATGAATAATCATGTAATATAGTACAGGAGCCACCAGGAAGGTAGTAATCAATAACTAGAAAGGCATTTCTGTTTCTCCTGAGACTTTTCTGTAGTGAATGCGTGCATCTCTGTGTATGGTAGATTGGATTTAATTTAAATGAATCTTGCTCTTTAAAATGGGAACCTTGGCAATATTTTTTGTGTATCATGAGTTGTAACAAAAGCCCTGCTTTTACTCAGAAAAACATATTTCTCATGGAACAGAGAAACCAGTTGCATGTAATTGTTTTTCCCCTTGGTAATAATAGTATCACCTTTAGCTCTTTCCTCAATGCTGGGATTTCTCGTACTGTAGTTGACTCAAGATTTCCATTTCAGGTTTTACTTGCTGTGGAGAATACTGTAGGTTCAAAGACAAGCTGTTTGATACTGTGTGTACTGAAAAGCAACAGTGTTTGGAGGTGTTCAATATATTCGCGAAGGCTTTCACGACCGAGATCTAATGGTTGTTGTGGGTTTTTCGGGCTCTTTGGCCATGTTCTGAAGGTTGTTCTTCCTAACATTTTGCCAGTCTCTGTGGCCAGCATCTTCAGAGGACAGCACTCTGTGCTCTGGTGTAGTTGGCTTGGGTGTGCAGTATTTATGGCTGTGAGATAGGCTTTTGTCTTTTTCTGTAGATGGGTGATTAGTGTGTATTGTTGTGGGTGTATTGTTGTGCTAAGGAGAAGAGATTATCTGTTGCTGTGGTTGATGGGTGTCATTAGCTGGTCTTTTGTGCGTAGTGATCCCCTGTCCTTGTGGCTGGGTAGAGTTCGTTGACCTTTTGCATGCTGTATTTTTGAGAGCTTTGGCAGAAATAAAGTATTTCTGCCATACATCAAAGGGGTCACGGACCGCATGGGGAAACTTTTGAAAAAACACAACCTACAAACAGTATTCAAAAATACAACAAATGTTATGGTCAGCAAAGGACAGAAGGGACCCCCTCACCACTGCAGGAGTATACTGGATACCTTGCAGTTGTGGCCAGGTACACATTGGAACCACAAAATGAAGCATCCATACCAGAATCAAAGAACATGAGAGACACTGCAGACTAAAACAACCAGAAAAATCTGCAGTAGCTGAACATGCCCTGAAACAAACTGCACATGAAATTCTATTTCAAAATACTGAAATACTGGACAACACCAGCAATCATTACGTCAGACTGCACAGGGAAGGCATTGAAATCCACAAGCACCAGCACAGTTTCAACAAAAAAAGAGGAAAGTGTGAAGCTCAACAAAACTTGACTCCCAGCTCTCAAAAATACAGCGTGCAAAAGGTCTACCCAGCCGCAAGGACCGGGGATCACTACACACAAAAGACCAGCTAATGACACCCATCAACCACAGGAACAGATAATCTCTTCTCCTTAGGAAGAACAACCTTCAGAACACGTCCAAAGAGCCCGAAAAACCCACAACAACCAGTGTTTGGAGGTGTTTGGTGTAATTACTACTCTATCTCCTATTAGGGAAATGGCAAATACAGAATAAAAAGTATATTTCTCAGCAATTTCTCAAATCTCACCATGTCAAGACTTAATGCTGAGACTTCCCCCCTGCACTAGTGAAATATTCTGCTTCCCCTCAAAAACAAGATGACCCCCCCATCTAATTTTTGTTTTTATGTACAGACTTGCTATCAAATCAATCTTGACTTATATACAGGAAATTTCCAACCATTTTTGCAGATCAGTGCAATTTTCAGGGATTTTTATGTAGGAAAGACTATTTCCTTGGGAGATACTTCTAAAATTGTCCTTACATGAAAGCCTTGCCTAATTGGTGGGGTCCAAATGAACCAGTCTTGTCTTTCACGTATTGCTGCTGCATGAGGGATTGCCTAAATGCATTTTTAAAAAATGTCTACTTTTTATAAAAGCGCTTGATGTTGCGGCCACCTTCCCTCTGTCTTAGGGCTATTACTGTATGTTTGTCCAGATACTGGCCATCCTTCCATTCTTTCATCTGTGCCCTCCATACAAATCTCTTCCAGGTGGGATGCTCACCTGGTGACATCTTGCCATTTGTGAGTGTATTTCTCACATTTTGTGTCTTCACTGTTCCCCAGGATTAATAAAAGAGAATTTTATGTGTGGAGAGGGGATGGGAACCTTTATCTTCTCTTTCTTCATCTGTGTAATCTGCAATTTATTTGTTTAGGCATCTGGTTTTGAAGTCAGTTTTCCAGATAAAGTGCAGCATCTTCCTGAATATTCCATAGCTAGATTTACTGTCTAAATTCTAAGCAACAAACCAGAAATTCCTGTTTCTGTATTCAGCTTTAACTAGTGACTTAGTGTATGGTACAGAAGTATCCTCTGTAGTCCTTCTTATACAGTGGGGTCTCTACTTAAGAACTTAATCCGTATTGGAAGTTGGTTCTCAAGTTGAAAAGTTCTTATGTTGAATCTGCATTTCCCATAGGAATGCATTGAAAACCATTAATCCGTATCTGCTCTTTTCCATCCATAGAAACTACAGTGGAACCTCTACTTAAGAACTTAATCCATTTTGGAATGGTGTTCTTAAGTTGAAACGTTCTTAAGTTGAAGCAAAATTTCCCATAGGAATGGACTGAAAACCAATTAATCCGTTCTAGCTGTTTTTTTGTTATGTAGAGGTGTGTTCGTACATTGAAGCATTAGTTCCCATAGGAACTAATGCAAAGCTGGTTAATACGTACTCTACCACTAGGGGGAGAATTTTTTTTTAACCTAAGATGACCTAAGGTTAAAAAAAGAGCAGGAAAGGTTTTTTTTTCCTGTTCTTATCTTGGATTTCTGTTCTCAAGTAGAAGCAAAATTTAGCAAATGGAGCTGTTCTTAAGTTGGATTGTTCTTAAGTAGAGACGTTCTTAAGTAGAGACCCCACTGTACCTTCAAACTTGGACAGTTTATGACTGGAGGAGTGCCTACCCCCAGAATGTTGGGGTAGAGTTCCCCCACCCATCCCAGTCCACAAACCACCCGTGACTTCAACTACAATACTGTTTGAATTTCAAATTGGGCATGGAATGATCTGCAGGCTCCTGATTTCAGAAATGGTGTCCAAACAAACCCATAATTTTCTGTTTCCAACAGTCAGGGATGTGTAAGGTTACAAGAGGTTTTCTCTGACTCTGCTACACTTAAAAACTTTAACCAAAATGTCATAGTTTGAAACCGGAACCTTCTATCTGCAGAATACTGTATCCCTTTTTGTTCCTGAGATGCAGACTTTCCTATTCCACAGTATGCAGTTCAGTGGCTTAGAAATTAGCTCACTGTTGAACGCTTAGTATTTCTTTTCAAAAGGTTCAACATCCATACAGTTGTTAATTTTTTTTCTTTCTTTTTTTCCTTCTTAGATATTTCATAGATCACAACACAGAAGAAGACAGATATTTCACGATTGATGCAAACACAGGGACTATCAAGACTGCCAAGGTCTTTGACAGAGAAGAAACCCCTTGGTACAACCTCACTGTGACGGCTTCTGAAGCTGGTAAGTAACAAGTTCCCAAGGTTAAAACTCCATACAGTGCTTATGGGCAAAAATGAAATAATTGTTGAAAAACACTGTGATGATTATATTTCCAAAATCCCTACATTCTGTCATGGATGCTTAAGGAAAGGGTGGTTTTATCTTTAAAAATGTATCAAATGTGCACTTTAAGATATGCAGATTACTCCCACAAGCCATTTAAGAGATGAAGCTGATTATTCTTCCTGATATTATTTTTTGAGGAGCAAAGTTTTGTAGAACATACTCTCTGTGAAAATTAGTACAAATGTCTGAATAATTTTTGCAGACACGAGGGTATGAGCAAGATACAGGTATGCATACATAGAAAACTGCATTAAATAAAGCAGAACTTTTCCCACTGATTCTGCTATACATGCAGCTCAGACTGACACAAGACACAACATAAGGTTTGCAGATGGAACCAAAACAAATCAGTAGGGTTTGACTACTAGTCACATTTATGATTTAACTGTTGGTTGCATATACTTCAGTCCCTTGGAAGAACTCTAAAGAGATAAATTACCATATATTTTTTCCGTTTATAGCACACCCCTGTTTATAACACCCCCACTTTTCTAACCCCAAAATTAAGAAAACTTAGCTTTGAGTATTCAGCCTCTTGGCTCAGAACACTTGGACATTAGGAGTCCTTGTTGAATCTGAGCCTACAGGCTCCACCTCCAACAAGGTGTGTTCCAATTGGTGTGTTCAGCATCAGCTCCTTAAGGCTTGTGATTGGAGGAAGCTAAGTCTGACTGTAGGAAGCTAAGCCTTGTGACTGAAGGAGCCAGTTTACAGAGGCAAGGGATGGGCCATTTTGTTCTCTCCTCAGCTATCACAGCTTACTTCCGTGTATAAGATGCAAGTGTAATGATTTTAGGAAAATGTAATGTCTTATACACAGAAAAATACTGTATGTGCAGGCAAACCAATACCAGTCTTGTTCAGACCTTGACCTGACTCAGTTTGGACCAGGAGTGTCAAAGGAGTTTGGTATTCCTCATCAGGAATTCTTGCCATAGGAAGAAACCCCAAATTGATGAGAATGATGAATTTAGCAAGTTTATATACAACCTTAATTTTAGGATACTTAGAAAATGGTACTTTTGGATACAATGGCCAAAATCTTGTTGCTTACTGTACAAAATCACACTATAGGCCCGCTGTATCAATGGGGATTTGGTGAATCAACACACCACATCTCCATTTTCCTCCAAAATGTTGGAGAAAGGTAAATTTGACAGACTTGTCCATTTGCATCTTCAGCTACTCCTTTCACACCCAAATCCACAGCAATACTGCTATTACAGTTCTAGTTATCAAGCAATAGTAAGTAAATTTATAGGTTGTTGTGGGGTTTTCAGGCTTGGCCATGTTCTGAAGGTTGTTCATCCTAACGTTTCGCGAGTCTCTGTGGCCAACAACTTCTGCAGAGAGGAGT